ATTGTTAATGTCTGAAGATTTTCTTCATTGATGAGCTTTATCATCTCTACGTATATTTCATCTGGACCTGAGGCTTTTCGTGACTTTGCCGTATTGATTGTTTTTGTAACTTCAGATGTTAATATATCAAGTATTGTTTCTTGTACTATATTCATTTGTGGTTCTGTTCTCTCGTCATCAAACAGATCTTCGATGTATTTTTCCCACATGTCTCCTACTTCTTCTGGACTAGATACTATTTCGTTGTTATCATCTACTAAAGTTGTTGTAGTGATTTTTTTCTTCATATTTGTGACTTCCTTAATCTTTTTGTAGGCATTAAAGTAGTCATGCTTTTTTAGTAAATGTCCCAGTTCCTCACACTTGCTGCTCATCCATTCTTCTTTGGCTTTCCTAATTTTGTTTCGGATGATTCTCTGGGTTTCTTTATATTTTTCTACATTACGATTTTTGTAAGATCGCCTTATGTCCATCAGTTCTAGGATTTCTTCTGTCATCCATGTATTCTTTGTTTTTCTGGTGCTGTCTTGTAGTTGTTCTCTTTGTATAGTTGTCATCGTTGTTTTGAAGGTGTGCCAAATACTTTCTATTGTCTCTTCTGCTTCCGCGGGGGTTTCACTGAACTTTTCTTTGAGTGTATCATTGAGTTTTTTCTCTATTTCTGCCTGTACTATTGGGTCTTTAAGTTTTTCTAGGTTAGGTTTTATATTCTTTCTGTATTTGATTTTTTTTAGTCTAATTAAAATTTTACCAACAACAGGATTGTGGTCGGAACCGATGTCCGCCCCGGGATATGTTTTAACTCCCTTGATTCCATTTCTATAACGTTTCTCAATTAATATATAGTCAATCTGGTTTCTTATTATGCGGTTTCGATTATCGCCAGGTGCTTTCCATGTATATAACCTTCTTTTGGGTTGTTTAAACCAGGTGTTTGCGATCATTAGATTTTCTTCTTGGCAAAATTGGACCAGTATTTCTCCTCTATCATTTCTTTGGCCCAAACCAAAGTTTCCTACTACGTCTTCGGTCCGCCCTTCACCTACTTTGGCATTAAAATCTCCCATAATAATGTTTACAGCATTTTTCTTTGTGATCTTCATTAGCTGCTTGATCTCTTGGTAGAATTCTCGTACTTCTCTTTCTGGTTTTTCTGCTGTAGGAGCATACACTTGAATAAGGTTAATATTACGAGGAGTGGTATTAATTTGCAGCATAGCTACTCTATCAGATATAGGTATAAAGTTCTTTATACATTTACTGCTTTTCTGGTCAACTATAAATGCCACTCCGTTATAATGATGAGGATCGTCGTTACCAGCATAGTATATCACATGGTTATCGATGTTTGTCTGTCCAGATCCAGGCCATCTAACTTCACTGACTCCGAGAATGTTGACTCCCATTCTTTTCATTTCTTTCACGATGTTATGAGATTTTCCTGGCATATAGAGAGATTTTGCATTCCAGGTTCCAATTTTTAACTTGTAATTTTTGTTTTCCACTTTCGGGTGGTTCCTAGGCATTGCTTAATAATTAAAAATAAATTGAATATCGATAAGAGTTCTCAAATTGATTTTAGAGAGGAATTTATAAATAAAATGATTTATTCATTAAATATTACAAATTACATGTTAGAGTAAAAGTACTATGGTATAAGGGATGTAATTAGGCCATGACAATATAATTATCAAGAATTTTTATTGAACAAGCAGACAGGATTTCATAACAAGGAAATTAAGTGTACTCTTATAAACAATACATAGTAGTTAGTACAAAAAAAGTTAATAATACAAAGAGAAAGAAATATTTATTTCCTTTTTATCGTTAATATCTTCCCAAAACCGGTTTTGTGTTTGTACGTGTTGAGTAAATGCTCTGTTACTATGTATATAAAGTTGACTTGGTTTATTATATTCGAACGATTGACATGTCTGGAACGAATATTGATACTCTCGGAAACGACTATTTCTTTTAAGAAAAGGCCATGTAGCTTACGGGATTCGAACCCATGACTTTCCAAACTTTCGTCTAAAAGAGAAGAGGTCTGGGCCGTCCAGGCGGTAAAAACTAATATAAAAACCACTAATACATTTTAGTATAATTTTGGCAAAAGGATGCGATGTTCGGCACTAGCAATTCCTAAAAATGTAAGTTTCTTTTTGGAAAAGAATTAAAAGAAGGCCATATCTTTGTAGTAGATACAGTTTACAGTTGTCTGTGTCATATATAGTCAGCATTCAGCCAATATTTCTTTGTGTATAAATTTTGCTCTTTTCCATTTTTTCTTATATGTACATGTAAGACATTTTGTATTTTTCTTACTATCCAAGGCGATTAATCAATATCGCGTTTTGTCTGATATTTTTTCATTATTACAGCCACAACCACCCTGTAGAAACAAAATTATATCGCCATATTATATCAAAGGAATTATCTAATTCAGTTTAATGCAGACAAATCTCCAAATAAAGGACTTTTTGTATAGTCAACATTCCATTCCGTTCTTGTATTCAAAACTGAAATATGAATAGAACTTTAGTCTTCGCTTTTATTTTCATTGAAAATTTTAATGAAATCAGCCTTGAAAGCCCACAACAATATGGACGGATGTTGTTTGTCCGCCATTCTTTCTTTTTTAAAGAAATAAAAGAAAAACATAAAAATGTAACAAAAATTTAATAGTAAAGATTTTAGATTGAAAATCCAGCGATTGAAAAGGCGTTAAAGAGTTAAAGAAAAGAAAATTATATTCTTCATTCATTTATTAATGATCTCCCATCATTAAATTAAATTTTTTCACTTCCATTGCCTAGATGTATCACATTTCTCTATTCTATTCTGTGAATAGGTGCTGACAGAGGGCGCCACATATGTCACATGTGGCATACATTTGCACTTAACTTTTTTGCTGTTTAAGTTACCGGTGCTCGTGATAAAAAATATTAAAGATACATTATTTTAACAAAAAAAGATATACTTGTTAATGACTTCTAAACTCAACAGATTTCGAGATAATCGCATTTTACAAATCAACTATATAATTCAGATTTAACGAAATTAATCCAGGCAACGAAAGAAAATTAGACAAAACCATCAATACTTCTGAATTTTGGTATAAAATGCCTTTAATAAAGTTAATAGATAAAATAATAATTACTAAATAAAACAAATATATCAGCAGGATAATTTGCAATAGGATTTGACAAAATAGCAGAATGATTGGATTTTACGTCAAACATTTTACGTTTTGTATTAAATTAAAGTCATAATCAAAATATTTTATTTATAAACCAAATTAAGAAATAGCTAAATAAATAACTAAATAACATTAAACTTTTTGTCGAAGTACGTGTTCGATATGTCCACCATTTTTGTTAATTAATTAATATTAAATAGCATCATTGATTCTAAAGAAACTGCTGCAGTATTTATAATAAGTATTGTAAGTATAATATATAATAAATATAATATAATAATAAAGTATTCGTTTGGGATTTTCATGAATTAAATAACTATATTAATATCTTACCATATGACCAAGGAATATTACCACAACCACTCCATCGTTCAGGAAAGTTGTATTTAATTATGTTCTCACTGCCCTCTCTATAATGTGGTGGTATACCATCATGCATAAACTACATATTTCGCCTTAAGTTTGATGACAATTCTTCCAATAAATCAATAAAATCATTTTATAAAAAATGTAAATAAATCTCACCATTCAAATTACAAGGTAATTCGCATGTCCTTAAAAAATAACTACTAATAAGACCAAACCCTACGATATGCATTTTAAACATGAATTTTAAATAAACGTATGGTTTGGACGCATAGGTAATTATTTTTTACGAACATGCGAATTACCTTGTAATTTGAATATTGAGATTTATTTATATTTTTTATAAAATGATTTTATTGCTTTATTGGAAGAATTGTCATCAAACTTAAGGCGAAATATGTGGTTTATGCAAGATGGTACACCACCACATTATAGAGAGAGATCAGTAAGAACATACTTAAATACAACTTTCCTGAACGTTGGATGGTTCTTGGTAGTCATATTCCTTGGTCATGTGAGATATTAATATAATTATTTAATTCATAAAAAATTCCAAAAGAGTACTTATTAATATACTTATAATACTTATAATAAATACTGCAGTAGTTTCTTTAGAACCAATGATGCAATTTATATGAGACGATCTTTTATGGAATGTATTGACCAATGAATTAAAGAAAATGGTGGACATATCGAACACTTACTTTGACAAAAAGTTTAATGTTATTTAGTTTAACTATTTCTTAATTTAGTTTGTAAACAAAATTTTTTGGTTATGAGTTTAGATTTAATATAAAACGTAAAATGTTTGATGTAAAATCCAATCATTCTGTTATTTTGTCAAATCCTATTGCAAATTATCGTGCTGATATATTTATTTTATTTAATATTTCGTTAACTATTAACTTTATTAAAGGCATTTTATACCAAAATTCAGAAGTATTGATGTTGTATGTATCAAAGAGTAGCATCCTCACAAGTCTGTAAAGATGTAACAACTTCATTGTATAATGTAGTTTTTTTAATTTGTAGTATGATTTAATAAAGAGTTTAATAAACTCGAAAGCTCAGCAAACCTTAAAGAGTTAAAGGCCAATATATGATTACAAATAAAATGCCTTAAATCGTTATAATAATGCTGGAGAAAATTAAATAATATTCTTTATTAAGATATGAATTTTTAGTTTGTGCAAAAATAAAACAGTATCAGAAGAGATTACAGCACGTTTAGTTGCAAAAACTACGTCATCCGAAATAGAAGAAAAAAATACATAAATACCTTTAAAATTATGTATATACGAACGTATTCCGAATTTTAGATTACACAAAACTCAACCAAACGATATTTTAGTTAAAAGGTACCTGTATGAATAAGATGGATAAAGATATTCTTAAAAACGTCTATCTACTGTTTGAAAAGCAACTTAGTACTTACCTGAAATAGGAACACGTAACCTGACACTTTCGGCATTTCTTATACGATATAAAGATAAAGCTACGACGTGCTGGCACCAAAAAATATCTTTCGTTTCGCAACTGCATGTCACAGAGGTAATTTTGCACCTAAGAAACAGAAAGAAACGTTATGAGGTTTATATCCATAAGACAAACAAATAAAAACGATTTATTACAAAAAGTTATGAAGATTTTTATGTTCTTTTAGTAGGTATATATATATATATATATATATATATATATATTATATATATATATATATACATATATATATATATATATATATATATATATATATATATATATATATATATATTATTAATAACAATAATCAATTGTTTTACGAACATTAAATATTCCATAAAAATGACTAAACTTACCTATCAAAACTAACAGACACTTTAAATTTCTGGGGAGGCTCAGGAGCACCGCATGGCAACGTGGCAGTGGGAGAATTGCGAGGACCTGTTACCACACCGCTCAGATGAAATCCTGAAAATGAAAGATTATTTATTAGTATCAGTTGTCAAAGTATGTAGGTAAATTATTAGAACTGCATTTTTATCATAAGCACAAATTATAATATCTAAACTGTTCGGTGTGAAATTTCTGAATACTTTGTAACACAATCGATTATTGTAGATTGGGTTACTTAAGTCAAAGCTTTGTAATTTTAACATCCTTCGGCATATATTATATAGACAAATATAAAAAATATGTTATCCAGTTTGTAGGAATAATTATTATTTGGGGAATATAGAAGCACATTCTACATGCACCATCCTTGGACTTGGAAACATCATTATCATATTGCTACAGATTCTTCGAAGGTTACAAGTATTGAGTTTAATAAGTTAGTATTAATGTGAAAATTATCACTATATGCGGGTTTTACAATATTGATATTCAAAAACAGTGAATTGTAATTACCAAGATACGACAGAGTTGAGCTGGTATAATATAAATCATTAAGGATATGTTGATTAGACTGAAGTGCGATGTACAGTCACAGTAGTGGAAAATTTTTCTTCGAACAATATTTATTTGTAAGGTACAAACACTGAAAATTAACAAAATTTATTATAGACCGTATTTGAGTTAACTTTTGGTTCATTTGAAGACAGTTATAAGGCAAAAAATAATCTATTATTGCCACCAGGACAACGGTATTTAAAACATTTAAATTTCAGTTCAATTTGTTACTAACAGAATAAAGTATCGATTTAAATCTATATAATATGCATTTTTAATTATTTTCTTTCGATTTTTTTGTGTATTATAAAAAATTGCGATTTAATATTTAATTAAATGGATTATTTAATTTGTCCAGCGTCGTGAAGAACCTTGTACATACTCTTTCATCCACTTCCTTTCTTTGTAAAAAAGAAAAACACCCAACAAAACTTTTCCCTTTCTTTGCTCAAAATAAATTTATTTCTTTATATAGTTGTTTTATCATCCCGTAGCCTCTTAAGTTCGGTGCTCATTGAAAGCAAAAGCATCGTTCCTTGCAGCATTATATAGCATATTACTTCAAAAAGTTTCACACATTTTCTATAGATATTGTGAAAGATTAAAGAAAAGTTTTGTATTCAGCCTCGAAAGAATGGGGCCCTTTTTGTACTCTGTACAGTGTATTTTTGTTACGAGAACAATGGGCAGTTTCTCTTCTCTTTTCGCACCAAAATATATATACAAGGGGTTTAGGAAATATATTGTCTATTTTAGTCTGTATTAATGAGTACAACAACAAGTGTTATTAATATGGGTAGTTTTCTATTTATAGATTTAAATACATTGCCACATATTTCAATAAGTCCTGGCCCTGTCATATAGATGACATTAAAACTTCTTCTTCTTAAAGTTCCATCTCCTATCGGAGGTTGGATATCATAACGGCTATGGTCACTTTGTTGGCTGCTGCTCTGAAAAGTTGTAGTGAACTACAGTTAAACCATTCTCTAAGGTTCCTCAGCCAGGAGATGCGTCTTCTTCCTATGCTTCTTCTTCCTTGGATCCTTCCTTGCATAATAATTCAGCAGCTTAGATTTTTCCCCTCTGGTTATGTGACCCAAATACTCTAGTTTTCTTCTTTTTATGCTGTTCATAACTTCTAACTCCTTTTTTAGACGTCGTAGTACCTCAGCATTGGTAATCCTTTGAACCCACTGAATTTTTAACATTCTTCTGTAACACCACATTACGTATAGTAAGATAGAAAATATGTAACATCTTAGAGCCCTCAATCTGAGATGCAACTGAATGTCTCTGTTGGTAAGCATTGTCTTCATTTTCACAAATGCTTGCCTTGCAGTTTCAATTCGGACTTTGATTTCTCTGCTTTGGTCATTTTTGTCATCAACCCAGGTTCCCAGATATTTGTATGTCTCTACTTTTTCTATTTGGGTTCGCTCTATCATTAATCTTTCATTTCCATGTTTCGTTTTTGAGACAATCATAAATTTAGTTTTTCTATTATTTATTTTTAGCCCGTATCTAATGCAATAATCGTTAATTCTATTTACCAATTCTTGTAGCGATTCCAGGGTGTCTGCCAGTATAACGGTGTCATCAGCGAATCTTATGTTATTTACTGTTCTTCCGTTTACAGAGATTCCATCACCCAGATCCGCTATCGCTTCCTGGAATATGGCTTTACTGTACACGTTAAACAGTAATGGTGACAACACAGCCCTGTCTTACTCCTCTCTTTATATCTGTATTTTCGGACTTTTGTTCTTTTATCTTTATATTTGCCTTATGATTCCAATACAGATTGATAATGATTCGTAAGTCTCTTCTGTCTATATCTTTGTTTCTCAGTATTTCTATTAGTTTTTCATGTCGGACCCTCTCGAATGCCTTCTCGAAGTCGATGAAACAGGAATAAATATCTAGGTTCATATCTAAGCATCTTTGAGAGAGGACATTAAAAGCAAACAATGCCTCTCTCCTTCTCTGAATAATCTTTGGCATATACTGTTTTTGGTATTGCTACAAAGATGGACACCAACCATTCCTGTGGGATTTTTCCAGTTTTATATACTTCATTAAATAGGTAAAAAAGTACAGGTAGAGTTTCATCGTCTAGACATTTCAGTAGTTCCGCAGGTATTTCGTCTGGACCTACAGTTTTTCCGTTTTTTGCGTTTCGTATTGCTTGTTCGATTTCCTTTGATCTCTGGCCCCGTTTCGCTGTCGATTTCTTCCGGTTCTTGTCGATTATCCTCAAACAGATCTGTTATGTATGTCTTCCATTTTTTAATTGCTCTTTAATTTCTATAATGATTTTTCCATTTGCGTCTTTCAGAAGGGCATCTTTCTTTTTTCTCAGTGTATTTGTCACATTAAAACATCACCTTTCAAAATTTCAGCTCAATGAAGCCATTATTTTACAATTAACAATAGTTTATACATATACATACATAAGTACATATATGAGTACCAAATATATGTTCGATGGAGGATTTTATAGTGCAACCAAGTACGGAGTAGACACATTTGAAAAAATGTGCGGAAACATGAACATCTCTAGAAAAACAAGATGGCATCTTTGACTCTATGGAGCCGCAGCAAGAACGAATATGCTCCACTCAGTGGAGTCCACTGTGTAAAGACATGTCATGTGTCAATTTTGTCCGTCTAAAAAAACATCGAATGACAACCCATCATTGCGAGCACTGCCGGCCGACGTCCATTTTGTGGTGAATCGCGCTCTTTGTTGTCAACCGTGCAGTTCTAAAATGTAGAATTTATTATTTTTTTGTCATTTTTATGTTTTAGAAATATCTCCTTGTTTAAAATAATTTGTAAAATTGAGTTACATAAAATAATTTTTCAGCAACCACATTTTTTTCCTCAGCGTAGTAAATTTTACGATGGTTAGTGTAAATGAAGTTAAAAATAAGGTTAGTATTTTAGGGTTAAAATACACTATAGAAATATTGATAGATATGTGCCTCATGTAACAAAAATTGTGTCAGGTGCAGGGTGATATATTTGGTCAAAAACTGTTCAGGTTCGTCAATTTCAATAATCTTGGAATTTACATGAATAATGTGATCGAAAATACACTGGAAAATCTAACATGCTAGCACTACGCTATCACTACTGATCAGTGAACAGTGTAGTAGTGTCTGGGGGCTCGGGAGACTGAGACCTCGGAAGCCCTTAGGAAGGCATCAGAGAGGATGCCGAAAGCTGGGCAAAATGGATATCGACGCGGTTCAAACCCGGAAGACTGGTGAGATTGATATTAATTTTAGTAATAATATTAATCTTAGCTCTAGGTTTCATTGTACTAACCGCGGAAATCTTTCCGAACATATATATATATATATATATATATATATATATATATATATATATATATATATATATATTATACTACTTCACCTAGATTGCGGCCCGCAATCTGTGGCAATAGCTACTATGCGGCCCAGGAAAAAAAAATGTTGAGTATCGCTGGTCTAGCTTGACCTGGCCTCCTGGTGTATTGTTCTATTTCCCGAAATCTTTGTATTGCATCAAACACTGTAATTCGAGAATTCCTAAGGCATTTGCGATATAAAGAATGCTCCACCCATCATCCTGTAAAGCAACAGCTTGTGCTACTTCTTCTGGTGTCACAATTTTTTTAATTTAAGTTTTAAACAGGAGACAATATAAAAACCTATAGCCGAAGTTATAATTAGGCACCATACCACAATAAACTTAAATTAATACTAAGCCACTATTTCACATTAATAACAAAACGTATGTGTAAAAGTGTTGTTGTTCGCACAAAACATTTAAACAGGTTCAAACAAGAAAAAAACGTTATTGCTAATAAGGTATAAAATACAATTCAAACAAATTGAACAAGTTTTGATCTAAACCCCAACAAAAAACAAAAAAATCTGAGTGTCCGGTAAATTTTGCATCCCAGTGTAGTTGTTATAAATTCAGTTAGCTAAAATATATAAGTACTACCTATTAAAATTATTTGATTTGATTTGCCCCAAAAAAGTTAAAGTTCCTTAAAACAGTGATCTGCTGGTTTTGTGAGGCACTGTAATTCAAACAAAAATTAATTAAAATACATCCTATTATTATTTAGCAACATTAACACTGGGAATAACCTTAGATTTGACAACGTCTCATCCTTGCAGAATTAATCACAAAGAAATATGGAGAAATAATAAAACTGGGCAGAAGATCAAGCAACGCAGAGCAAGAAATCGACTGTTATGAAAATGGTAATGGGTTTGATTGCTGAACAGAGAAGAATTAAGGAGGCGTTGCACTGCGTTGGATGCATTTCCATTGTTTATAGTTAATCAAGAGTTTTTTTGAGAGTGCGAATTTGTTTCTCACAACGGATGACTTATTCAGAGGTGTGTTTCTAATCAAAGTTGTTGCATGCTTTTGTGCAACTCCATAATTAATATTTAATCTTTAATAATATTTATCTACTATTATATAAAAACATACGTTTTTATTTTTTTAAAGAA